CCCACACCCACTCTTCCTCCTCTACCCAATCCCACCCCCTCCCCCTCGCGCCCTCGCACTATTTTTCTCCCCCGGCTTCGTTCACTCTTCACGTGAGCGTATATATCTAGTTTTTATTTTATTTTTAGGGTTTCTAAAATATTGACCGCTCCACACACCCTCCTGCCGCTGGCCCCCAAAGGGTAATTAATTAAAAGTCCCTTGAACCTCCTGGAAGTGAAGTGATAAATGAACTTGGCCAGAATATGATGAAGAAAAAAGAGTTCATGGCTGCCCAGGGAGCAACACTTGTCAATGCGCAAAAAATCAGGTCATTGTGTAAAGTCTATACCGGAAGAGGATTCGGCGTTCTTGGTTTGAGTTGTGAATGTAGTCATCTGGAAGGATGAAGAAATAAAAGTTCAATTATTGCCGTTGACAGTTATGTTAATATCCACTCGTGAATAAATGAAATAATATATGAAATAAAAAAAATATTTGTGTTATATTTGCAATAAATATTGAGTACATCGCCATGAAGATGGAATAGAATTGATGTACTTTTAAAGGAAAAATAACTTTTCATACTCTTGATGAAGACTAAAAAAGGTGTGAGCTCAAAATGAAATATATGGACAAATATTTATGTTTCGTGTTATACAAGTAGCCAAAAATAATCCATGATCAGTTCAAGATGCAGAGATGAAATTTTCACCAAAAGATTCCGGACTCGAAACCTCGACCATGAAATCTTTTTATCTGTATATTCTTTATAATGAAGATATTGCTAACTTTGTAGAAAAATCAACGCCGATTTTACGAAACATAATTTTTATATGGCTAGTATTATCTTGAGAAAAATCAATTCAGCAAAGCCAAGTAGGACTGAATAATACAAGGCGCAAACGTGTAGTGATATGTGCTATCAGAGCTTGAATGGTATTTGCGCTGCTGGAATTCGTAAGTTTGGATTGTGTACACAATGTAGATCTAAAAATTTTCGACTGATGTAGAACAATACTTTGAATATACACAGAAAAATTAATAGGTAGCTGTTTAATTTAACTCACCATCGCTGTGGCTTTACAAAGATTAGCAACTTCACAAACTTTAGAAAATGTGAATATGAGTCAAGAAATTTATAAAATGTGAAAAATATACCTGTGTGCTTCCATTCCTTGTGCTTCATGAATTTCATCAATATCTTACTCCTACCATAATCCCTTGCTCCGATCGGTAACTGTGAGTTCTGTGTGCAGACTGTCTTAGTTTGTAGATTAAGAAGGGGCTCCCTACACCCAGAACAATGATTAAGCAACGAGAATGTCGTGGGCTACCACTGACATGCTTATAATAGTACAGGTCTTCCTAGGCACGATGTTTGGAGAGTACGTTTTTACAGAGAACTGAACCAGCGAAATGAAATATTCCCTAAATTCAGACTATCAAATTTTACTGGAGAGAAAATAAGCATGTCGTCTCTCTCGATGATCACAGACGTTATACAACAGCCCATTAATGTTAAATAATATATTCCTTAAATATTACAAAATATTTCATTTAAATATTTGTTAAAAATTGGATTAAACATGGAGTGGATAAAACACCAAACGTGGAGTGGATCAAACATTTTCACTACAACGTGGAGTGAGTAGGTTCTTGTCCTCCGTGCTTCAATTATCCAGAGGGGAGCAGAAGGTTCCTTAGGGTGCCTAGAGAAGACAGTCTCAAACTGAGTGTGGCAAAACTGAAAAGGTAGGCCAACTCTAAAAAAGGCTCTCTACGAGTTCGTTGTACTAGAAAGTCTGTTCCTCTTTACATCTCCATAATTTTTACGATCTCTTACGAAATAAAGCGTGGACAATCGATTTTTTTTTGTTTTTGCATCCTACATACTCTCATTCAAAATTTTCTAGGATATTCGCGAGAAGGCAGTGTGCAATAACGTCAATTTTCTTTCGATTAAAAAGGCCTGATTATTTTAGGAGAAGCGTGAACCTTTCGTAAAGAAAGGTGAGTGCCCTCTTATCAAGAAACGATATCCATCGATGAGTGGTGCTATCAACGTCAATGAACGTCCTTGCCAGAGCTTCGCGGTCGTGTTGCTTACGTAAAAGGCTATTTTTAGTAAAATTCCTGACTACGACACGAAAAGGTCATTGAACTGATTCCGTTTGATACACATTTATAAATATAGGAGGACAGCGGGCACAAAAAATTTCTTAGACTTAGTACGAGATAGGTTATTCAGTTTGTTTAATTGGATATTGTTTTACAAAAGTAATTTCAAAATTCAATTATTCCGATAAATGTTAAAACAATCATTCTTCTCCACATAAACTAATAGTTCAGGTTAGTTACTTATGGTTTTGATAGCTCTTATTGCTGTTTACTGGGAATGTAGTAGCTGTTTCTGGATTGAGATGCCATGAGATTAATTCATGTCTATGACTTATAAGTTATTAAATTATGATTTTACGTTGAAATGATAACTTGCTTTACATTTGGATAATCACATCGTTTTGACTTCATTTATTGTCTTTGGCTCTAATTTCCGCTTAATAAATTTTTAACTGCAACTGTCTGTTAACGATCCGTCACTTTGAGTAATGTGTTAATCTGTAGTAAAATAGCACGTGGTGCATCTGCGGTCAACGACCCAACCCTGAATATTATGAAACATATTGGTAATCATTTTTCCTTCGCGAGGTCAACGACCAAGATCTTGAAATGTTATCTCCCACATCAAAGCTTTGACGACGTTTTATCACTAAAACACATGCACTTGGAGCATTAAAAGGATGCTTCATCACGTTCTAGCTTTCGTTCAAAGTTCAGATAAACACATTAGTAACTTCCATCTGGTTTGTAAGCGCCATCATTCATTAGGCTATTGACCTTATTATGAAACTTATCACAGGTGATTATAAAGATGGGAAAAACACAGAATGAAGTAAAAATAGTAATGGGCTTCGTTTAGAAATTAAATTATGAATGTATTAATGTATACTTTGTACTTTCTTGGAAAAGTAAGTTTTCATTCGGGTACACATAAATTGTGATAGGAATGAAAGAGTACACGGATGTAAGCATAAACCTCTTTTCTAGAGCTCTTTTTCAGCCGGTTACCCTTCACGTCTCAATGGGACGCATATTGGACCATACACTAGCCTCCAACACACTGGCGGGCTCCTATCATCTGGGGTCAATAGAACGCGAGGCCCTCCGCGGCAACACATACATGACAGCCGAGGGACATACAACCACACCAAAGTCAAGACGCGAACCCGGAACCTTTCGGACCAAAGCGTTGAGTTACACGCTCTTTGTCACCTTACCCTTCCACGTCGGTACATTAACTTCCTAGGAGCAAATGTACAAGTCACGGACAAGATTTCAAGCTTCTTGGTGTCTGTGGGCACTGCACCTTGGGTAACTGCTGGTAAAGGGGTGTAAAAGTAAGGATTCTACATACTTCGTCCCCAAGATAGGGTTACGCTAATCGAACCATGATAGCGAGAGGCGTGAGTCAATAGTTATTTTCGTTGAATCAAAAGAATTTCTTGCAGCAAAAGGGATGCTTTTCTAAAAATTTCTTATTTTAAATTCTGCAGAAATGTTTTGTGTCCAGAAACGTTGAAATTATCTATTATACAAAACTTAACGTGTTTACATCTGCATGTGAAAAAAAAATAGTACTACTGAAGTGATTGCTACCAAATTTGACACGAGTATATTTGGGTAACTATGAATCAAAAATAGTATAGACACGGTTCCAAATATTACCACTCAAATGCGCATTTTTTACAAAATTACAAAATTGTTTCTGAGTTGTATATAAAGTATACGTTACCGCGTCAGTTCTTAAAACCACAATATAAAACAAGTGAACCGATAAAAAAGGATATTTTAGTAGAAGTTGCTATTTCTATTTTTTGCGGCATTACATACCTTTCTGTATACTAAGTATAAGCGAAAGAAATTATTTGTGCAACAGAATCGCACAGACGTTCTCGCATTAATTAGTGTCCTATTCTGTTCGACATCTAAATCCGTACCAGGGCCTCTTGCGATTCCTACCCTGCCTCTTGGAGGAGGTGAAGAACATCTATCCAAAAGCTCCATCACGTGGACCAAATTTGGCCGAACGAATTTGGCCGATCGAAGCATTTGGCCGAACCAATTTTAAACATGTTACGGTTTTGTGATACATAATTTGATAAATTGAATAAATAAAACTATTTCACGTGCTATAACATGTTAGTTATTGACTGCACATATTAGTTAACCCTAAGATTTAGTTTCTTGTGTGTAATATTTACTTTGCCAAAATAGTGTTTATTAAAAAAAAGTACACATTTCACATTTTCTTAATTTTGCAGTCCTTTAGTAGTAGAATAGAAAATTGACTTAAATAGCATTACACAAGAGTTAAACTTGCTTATGCATACACAATTCCATTGAAAAAATTCTACTTTCTAGTTTTTTTAAAAAATGTCATTTTGAAAATTTTTGAAAATCCTGAATTTAGAGCTCATTTTCTCAGAAAAAGTTTGAGTTTCCAAAAACTACATTGGTAATCATTCAAAACTCTTGTACTCACAAATGCGATAGTGCATAAAAATTCCCAAAATATTACCGACAGGGATTATTGGCAGTATTTGTGTCATTTTTTTAAAATTCAAAATAATAGATCAAAATGGCGTATGCCAATGCAATTGGCAGAGTCCTTAAAAAACGTTTAAAAAGTAAATGAAAATGAAATAATTTTAATGAACAGATTATAAAAATAAACGTTGGGCGTTCTATCGGGTTTAAATGACTGAAATTACTCATAATTTTAAAATAACTATCTCCATTGTGAAGTGACATGGCAGTCAATCTTCCGCGTTTTCTTTGCAGGAAAATATGTTATTTTTAAACATGGTTAGCCCTCGGGAACGCTTATCTCTCCATCGTCACGTCATTCGCCTTACCTCTTTTCTCTGCACTGCAAACAATTTAAAGAAAATGTTTACTTGCCTGAGATTCGAGACTATCCCAGGCTTAAAAATCTTAGAGAAGGTTTTTGCCGGAGTCGCGTTTATTTTATGGAGCTGTAACAAGAGAAGGAATACAATATTTACATGAACATGTTTTTCAATTCAATTATTTGAGTCCAAAAATGTATCATTACACACTAAAAAAATATAATCATTAAATGTTTTAAAAATAACAAATGTTTAATTTTTGTAAATTCAAAAATTTCGTTTTCAGAGTCTGTGAATCGTTTAAATAAATTTTTTGCATCTGGGCAGTCTGTTTGATTTTGAAAAGAAATTTTGAACTTCTGGATATTTTTGGCGAGCTAGCAAAACACGTCAAATATGAAAGTCACTAAAATTGACATGGACCTGCATCTAAATCTTTGTGGTATAATTTACATATAAAGACGGTGTTTGTTTAGGCAACACAGAAACATCTGTGTGTAATAATCGAACAGCAACTAAAAGAGAATATAAACCAAGGGATGTAGTTTTTCGCATTATGGAAAATACCTTTGATCCTCCGGAAGATGACGTGTATTTTGCACGAACAACGGTGATTGACCGCTTATCATCAAACGATAACAGACGACGAGAGACACCTGCAAAAGTCAATGAACGTCCTTGTGAGGCCTAAGTAATCGTGTTCCTGACATAAACTTTTAAGGCTAAAACAGCACGTACTTTCTCGCAAGTACTTTCATGCAAATAGCACACAAGTACTCAAATTTTAAAAAAATTATACATAACCTTATTTCAAAAATTATCTTTAAGGGACATATTTAATTCAGGGAGAAAAACTAACATTCACGCCTACAGTTCTTTTTTGCTTTGATATGAAAAGCAAACAAACGAAGCGACCGAATTCCCATATCTATGAGAAGGTTAGAGATTATTCATCAAAAAGCTTATCAAGTGAACTCGTATGCGACATCACCTTGCAACTCTTATCTCCGGTCATTCACCTGCAAAATGCAGTGTTTACCAAAGTTCGCTGTGATGAGCGTCGTGATCATTACAGTTGAAATTTTAAAACTCTAGAAACATGCATCAGTTATGCACAAAATTTCCAGTTCCATTGGAAAATAAGCCCTTATTATCGTCTTGGGTACGAAGCATTTTATTGTGATTACTATTTTATTTTACTCTCAAGTACGTAGTTGTTATTATTATTATTATTATTATTATTATTATTATTATTTACTTTATTATTATTATTATTATTATTATTTACTTTATTATTATTATTATTATTATTATTATTACTAGACATTACTCAAACGTTCCATGCCGCTCTGCACCATTCCGCATCGTTATTCCTGTTCTCTGACTAATCACTTTATGAAGACAGGATATCCTCCAAAAATGTAATAGAATGTTTAAAAAAGTTCCAATTTGTAAATTACGGCGTAGGGAATACAACTCGTGTTCTTTTTTATACAATTATAAAATTAATATTCAAGACTATTGGTGTATAGTTAACGTTCATATTTAATGTCATTCATATTGCAGTTGTATTCATATTTCAATATCCTCTTCGAAACAATCCTAATTCATTTTCCTTTATATTACATTATATATTAAACATTCACGATTGACTTTAGAATGTTGCTAATATACCAAATTGATTTTGGAACATGCTACTGTTTAATTACCCTACGTGCTTCGTTTCCAGTCATTATCTCTACGCAAGTGGAATCATAATAAACAAATTTAATGTAGGGAATTTCCTTCAGAGAGTATTAAACGCAATTAAAAAGAACAAAATATATTGTGACACAAGAAAACCAGCAGACGATCATGCAACCCGCAGTACATGTTTCGCATTTGTGCCCTTAAAACCAGATGTTTGCGCCCCTCATTGGACACCGGCAGTAGCACAGTTATTAGGCCTGGGCTCGTGAGGCGACGCCCCCTCAGAAGCCAATGATACATATTAAAAATATTTTTTTCTTTTCTATATTAACGGAAGACATTCAATAAATCGATTGTTTACGTTATAAATATTAACTATAAGTAAAAATTAATTTCATATTCAGAAAAAATGAAAAAGAAATTAAAAACTTCAAGTCGGCTGGGCTTTAGAATGTACCTGTAGCCCCTCACTCAAATATAAACCCTAGATGCGACTCGGAACACAGGCATACGTTTTTTAAGTCGTAATATAAAAAATGAGATCTTTTGTGGACCCTACTAACTTCTATTCCATTAAGAATGATTCCCCCCTCCGCAGCGATTCTCAAAAAAGATGGATGTTGGGTACAAGTATGAAGCTTTTTTTAAAAAAAAGTGTGTTTGTGCATACAGCTGTTATAATTTTGAACTTTTGTTCCAATATGAAGTACCGCATTTAAAGTAGGTTAATATATTATATGAATATTACCCCTAAAGCACTTGCTACTATTTAAGTTCTAGTGTATGGAAATTGAAGTTTTCCTCACTCGACACTTGCTGCGGTAACCCGGATAAAGGAACCATCGCTCAGAGCCAATTCACACTCCACACTCTCGGTGTTGGGGCGACATCCGTTTGAATTGCGTGTCTATAAGTAACATTTAACCCTACTTTGCTTTAAGACAATTGTTTGTTTCGAAACAACAACTGTATCTGCCATTACTGATGAAATTCAACATAAAATCTAAACCCGTTTATATATTTCTGCGCATGTTCTATCCCCACTCCTCTTCTTATGAATAATTTCGGGTGAAAAAAACCTACTCCCTGTATTCCTCGTTGTATTGGCAATAATATTTTATTTTATACTTTTTGCCTCACCCCAGAGCTCATTCCCGAATAATATTGTTTTTCCTTTTCTTGTAATTTTCCAATTTCATCGTAGTATCTGTGTCTAAGAAATAAACGTATTTCTAAGACGCGATGTGCTGCAGATCCGAGCGGTCATTTACATAACTGGTAAGCACTCTGTTGTTTCTCAACTTCGATCTCGCCGCAAACGATATAATAGAACTGATCCACGCTGCGATTCATGAACACAAACGTTTAGTAATGAAGCGTAACGATTCATATCTAAAGAATAATGGTCCTGTTGTTGAGCCACAGAGACTGCCTGCTGCATTCAAGCAGAGATTCGGTGCGGCATAGCCAGCACATTTTACAATGTTTTTCTCCCGTTACATTTTTCTCTTTGCAGAGTTACATTCTGAGACAGTAGGGAGCTATACTTTTCTTTAAGAGATAACTACATGTGTATTATACAAGTATATCGCATCAGTTTTCCTCTTACTATCTTGCAATGCTAACAAAAGCAAAAATAGAGTCAGAAGATATACACAGAAGGGTTTAAGTACGGTTTTTCGTTTCAATATGGTCCTCGTTTTTTGGTAGTTTTTCGATTGTACGACTCGCAAAAACCCTTTGTTTTGAAGATATGTTATTTTCTATTGCCGGCAACGAACTACGTCATTGGATTTCCTCTCTTGCAAATACTCTCTAACTATAAGTTGAAAACTGCTTATTCACTACTTTCCGTCTTTTTGCATTGGTTCGTTATTTCGCAATTATGATACGAGGACTTCAATTTCGTAATCTCACACTCAACTGGAGGAACACGTCGACCATGCGAACCACTGGATATTTTCGACAATGACATCGCTTTGGCGACAGTTCTTCACCCCCGGAAGTACTCGCTAATATTCCCTTGTTCTCCATGGTGCTTGTGGATTTTTAACCCTAATGAACTGTTATTACAATGTTTTACAGAGAATAGAAGTTTTTTCTTTTCGTATCGTATATAGAATACGATAATGATTGTGTAATCAAATGTTCTTAAAAATATATTACTAGCAATATGAATTTTGTTCGGTAGCCTAGTACAAATGAGATTAACAAGTTTCGTTACACACGTGTAAAATAAATTGAGTCCATCTTGAATTTTTCAGTATTATCGAGTTACTTCCAGATGTCTTCACAACCCGATTAACCACTTTTAATAGCTCAAAAATAAAAAAATGATATTCCGTGAATGATTTTCAAAATGTCAGAAAATGTTGCGAATATTATATTGAAATATGTAAATTTACAGGAGTTTTCCACAAATACTATTAATGAACTAACTAATAACAATAAATATGTAAATCCATAAATCCATTGTTCACGTTCTGATATTTTTTTTCAAATAGAACTAACCTTTCCTTCACATCACTTTATAATGCGTTCCAAATCCATGGAGCTACATCATGCAAGTGAATGACCGGAGAATAAGATAAATGTTGCAGTGATATCAAATGCAAGGCATTTCGATCGCTCCATGAAAAAAAACTGTCATTTCGTGGTGAATAAGATTTGCATTCGTTCTAGTATGCATGCATTATATTCTTCATAACTGATAAGAAATTTACAATGCAACTGATAAGAATCATGACGAGTTTGACGAGAGTGCATCACAAAATCAACTCGCTCGCACACATTAGTGTCATATTGGACACGACAGTCCTTCAAAGAACAAAGCTTCATTGTGGATCTCGCCACATTTTCCCCGTGCTTTTTTGTGATGAGCGTCTGCTTAATGAGTACGCACTACTAAATTAGTTTAAGTTGAGGAAAGATTAGTTTATAAAACATTTCAAAATAAAGTACATCGAAGTAAAATATTGGGTTTCTTCAGTGTAGGTATTGTAGAAAGAAAGAAATTCTTCATTATTTTTTTGTTAATTGCCGACGCTTCGGTTCTTTATTGGGATTTTACGAAGGCTGGAAAATAACATTTGTAAATTGCACATGTTTTTTTCACTTTCTTTATCCTGCGTCTGTTCACTCACTCTAATATTTTATTCACAAAACATTAACAATTCATAATACGTAAACAACTTAATAATATATTGAGGTAACTCTGTTCTAAACGGCCAAAAGAGAGGAAAAAACTGAAAAAGCGATGAAGTAGTAAATATAATACATTTTTAGACATAATGAACGTTCAATAAAGAGCCGAAAAGTTGGCAAGTTACAAGCAAATAAATTAAAACTTCTTTCTTTCGAAAACTGACCTAAACTCAAGAAAAATACAATATTTTATCTTTAAGAGATAAATATTGTTGATATCAAATATTCTTCAA